TTTTTTTTTTTTTTTTTTTTTTTTTTTTTTTTTTTTTTTTTTTTTTTTTTTTTTTTTTTTTTTTTTTTTTGCCTCTAAAGAGAGTGACTCAAAGCAGTTCTAGTGATTCCAATCAACATCAAGACAGGCACTCTCCTCAAGCCTGTAAGTAACAATGCCAGGATTCTTACCTCTTGTATCTGCCTGGAACTGTTCTTGACGGGTCCTGTAAAGTAAAATATGAGACATCAGCTGTGTGCGCGTCAAAACACAACTACAGATGGCAGAACAACAGTAACAACCGCGCTTGCACTGAGAAGGCCTCTCACTGCTGATCACACAAAATGAGCCTGTATCTGGTTTTTCGGCCCAAACCAACCATGTTTTAAATACTGAAATACTTTGGCTGTGAGCCTAGCCTTTAATGCCTAGGCCATCTCTCCAGCCCGGAATATTTTAAAAGCTTAGAAAACAAACATGGGGTGTAGCATAAATATTCAAAAAACACAATTGTTACAATTTTCATCTTCTTTTTCTTCTTTTTCTTCTTCTTCCTCCTCCTCCTCCTCTTCCTTTTCTTCCGGTGAAGGACTGGAACCTGCTGGGGGGCTGAGGATAGCCTTGAACTTCTGATCTTCCTGCTTCCACCTCTGAGTGTCAGGATTATAGATGTGTGCCATCACACCCAGATTATGGCAGGGGATCGATCCCAAGGGCTTGAGTGTGCTCAGCAGGCATTCTGTCCTTCTAAGGTACTTCTCCAACCAATCATTATAGTCCATTATAGTCTTAAGATTACCTCCCTGTTTTTTTTATTATGGTCTCATTTAAAAAAATAACAACAGGCCGGGCGGTGGTGGCGCACGCCTTTAATCCCAGCACTCGGGAGGCAGAGCCAGGCGGATCTCTGTGAGTTCGAGGCCAGCTTGGGCTACCAAGTGAGTTCCAGGAAAGGCGCAAAGCTACACAGAGAAACCCTGTCTCGAAAAACCAAATATATATATAAAAATAACAACAAAAAATGGAGTTGGCCTGGTGGTGCACACCTTTAATCCCAGCACTCAGAAGGCAAAGTCAAAAGGATCTCTGTGAGTTGAGACCAGTCTGGCCTACAAAATGAGTTCTAGGACATCCAAGACTAAAACAAAAACAAACAAAAAACAAAAACAAGGCAATTGGGCAAGTGAGATAAGTGAGATGTCTCAACCCTAAAAGCACTGGCTGCTCCTGTAGGGCTCAAGTTCAAATCCCAGCTCCCCACCAGCCGCTCACAACCATTGACATAACCCCAGTTCTGCACCAGCAGCCCACAGCCATCTACATGACCCCAGCTCCCCACCAGCAGCCCACAGCCATCTACATGACCCCAGCGGCCCGGTGCCCTCTTCTGGCCTCTGTTGACACTTGCACTTACATAGACATACACATACATAGATATACACATACACATAAAATAAATAATAAAAACTTAAAAAACCTATAACACCACACACACACACACACACACACAGAGAGAGAGAGAGAGAGAGAGAGAGAGAGAGAGAGAAATTAACTTTTTAAAACTATAGCTAAAAATAACAAAAGTACATATTACTGCAATGATCCTAAGCTACAAAAATAAAAAGAGGAGACAGACAGACTGCTCAAAGTTAATATTAACTAGGGTGGAAATTTACTGTGCAAATAAGTAGGCAGTCACTGTGATAAGCCTGGGCTCCTGACATATGTTTTCAGTTTCATCTCAATAAAAGACATCAAATTTAAGTGGTGAGCCCCTTTCAAACCGATAACGGTGTTATGTCTAAAGGCGATTATATAATTAAGGAATTTCTGGTCTGGTTAAAGCGAAAGGATCAGCTCGCTTTATAAGGTGACCGGTTCTACGGCGAAACGCTAACGGCGGCGAACTGCAACTAAGTCACGCCACAGCACGGCAACCCTGGCAAGAGTCGGGCAACCCGATCAGGAGGAAGAACCAAACCAACCTTCCAACCCGACATGCAACTGAGACCATGGGTTCAGGTTTCTCCCGGTGCCCGAACAGGAAGCAGCAGTCATGCCCACTGTATCGTGGGATTACAGGATATACGAGAACAGAGCAGTCGGCACAAGAGGCTGGCAGTGCAGAGTTGGTGTGAGTTTAGAGAGCTAAATGGGGTATAAAATCCTTGTCAACATTTCCAATATACATGAACTATTCCCAATACATTCTCACTATAACGGCATAAACCACTAAAAGATACCCTTATCGCAGGGTTTCATTTTTATTCCTTATTCCTCAGGTAAAATATGAGCTTCTGGAAGCCTGTCCCTACCCCCAAAATCTAGAGAAATCACTTCCTTAGCAATCTAACATTATAGGAAAGGAAAATAAAACCAACAAAACCTAAGCACTTAGGAAGTTATCGGGGGTCCAAAAAGCCAGCTGACAGGATCCTGGAGTGTCTGGGTGAGCCTGATCCTCATGAACAGAACTCATAACTACTGGGAATCCTCCTGTGTTGGCTAATGTGAAGACAACCTCACTGGCCTGGCTATCAGCTGCTCTTAATGCAGAGAGAGCAACAAAACCTTGGCCAGATGTTTAAGACATTTCTTCTCTGTCATTTTAAAGGCATCCCCTAAAAGGAGGAAGGTCAGTCTTTGCTTTTATGTAGTTAACTAAGTAGAATATATTCTCTGTTTATAAAAGCATGCTTATCTCCAGAGAATAACAGGAAAGAACAGATATGTAAACTCTAGCTACCCGCGCAAGCACAACATGATTCTTTTATAAGGGGGAGAATGTTCACTGTTCCTCCCTGTGAGAATGGAGTTCTACACAAATACAAACTCTGCCATAGATCTCATAGCTAGACATTTCATTTCCGTGACCACAAAAAGATCCCCAAGCAGAGGCGCTAACTAACTTTATAATTACTAGGGACCCACGTTAATAACTACAGGTAACTGCTGCAAAACTTGACAAGTCCACTCTATGTGTGAGCCAATCTCCCTCGGCTGATCTGATTTCATGTATGCCTTCCATCGGTTTACACATCACAGGACCTCAACTACTCCTGTACCATGTTCCTGAGATTTCCTCATGGACTGCTCTACGTTCCAATGAGGCCGGAGTTTTACTTAAAACTCACGCAAACCAGTTTGTGCTTTGCCAACATTTACGCAGCTCCGCACAGGTACTTCCCCCTCCCTTGAGTGGTATAAACTATACCCTTGCAAGGAAGATTATGTTAGGAAAAGTAGACTTGAAATCTGTTGCGTAACAGACCTGGGGTTTTCAAAGGATCTCATTACATGGTCCTTGGGATTTCCAAAACTCGGATCAAGTTCAGTTGTACTTTCTACAAGCAATCAATGCAGGAGACTTTCTCTGTTTTGTTTTGTTTTGTTTTTTTGAGACAGGGTTTCTCTGTGTAGCTTTGGAGTGAGCCTGTCCTGGAACTCGCTCTGTAGACCAGGCTGGCCTTGAACTCACAGAAAAAAGCCCGGCTTTTTCTCCGATTCTTTACACATTTGAGCTTCCCACAAGTAAACATGACTCAACCCAAATTTTTGGCTATGTCATCAATTCATCTGTGGTCTTCAAAATCTTCAAACAGGTTAGGGATGGGAAAGGTCAGGAAAGACTACAGAGCGCTCTCAGACCGAGGGAGGGTCACAGACAATGACAGCAGCATGGGATTTGAATTGAATTCCTCTGCTCTGCCTTGGGACAGGATTGGGGCGACTAGAAAAACTTGAATGAGGCCCGCGTTTGAGTGAAGTGATGTGCTTACTCACTTGGTAGACCTTGTTCTTAGAAAACCAAGTATCAAGGAAGCAGTTTTAGAGGAAGACTGTTTTCTGTATGTTCTTGTGACTTTGCAGCAAGTTGAGACTGTTTGGAAGTAAACATTACCAATGCCCATGCAGCAACTACCACTGAGAACCAACAGGGAAATCTTGCAAGTAATTTAGATGATATGCAACAGGGCACATTTTTTTCCTTTTTGGTTTTTTGTTTTGTGTTGTGTTGTTTTGTTCTTTTCATGACAGGGTTTCTCTGTGTACCTTTGGTGCCTGTCCTGGATCTCGCTCTGTAGACCAGGCTGACCTCGAACTCACAGAGATCCGCCTGCCCCTGCCTCTCGAGTGGTGGGATGAAAGGCGTGCGCCACTCTACTGCCCAGCCTTTTCTTTTTTTAATCTGGGAAATGCATTGTGCATTTTCAATCATAAGCTTTTCTCTGTAAATTTAGTCAAAGAAAACAATTCAAAACACAAATGGTTTGATACGTAAAGCTGTCATTATTGGTGCTTAAAAGAGTAAGAGATTTTAATCATTCATGATTACCTTTAGTGTCTAATTTGTGCTAATTAGTAAGGTTTAAAAAGAAATTCTATGCTATTGAAAGTAAGTTTTTTGTGTTGTTTGCTTGTTTGAATGCAGGGTCCCATGTTTCCTAGGCGAGCTTCTATCTTAGTGTGTATTAGTGTGTAACGGAGGCTGGCTCTGAATATCTAGTGTGGTAGAATTACTGACATGTGCAAACACACTTGGCTTGAAATAAGTTTTAAATATTT